AACGGACATCTTGTTTAAAATTCTTCAATACTTCATATAAATCATGAGATAATGAAAAAAGTACGAAAATAGTTCCACCAGGTTGAAGCATGCAGTACATATTCTCAAACGCTTTTCTATTATATATTATAAAACAAGAATAACAACAATTTATGTAATATTTTTTTATTACGATACTTTTGCAAACAACAAGGAAATTTAATAAAACTATTTTATTAAAACAGTGTAATACACATGTTATCTTTAAAATTATTACTCAAAATTGTAATATTATAAAAAGATTTAAAATTTACATTTATTTAAAAAGTTTTGTTACCTAATATCGTTGCACCAATGCAAGGTATGAAATGAAAATATATGATTAAACTTAGAAATATATTTTTCGGGCAAGTTTTTAGTTTGAATGTCCAACGTTTCAAATTCGAGTCGTTTATTGTCACCGTACGCTTTCTTCGCATATTCAATCATTGTTACTGAAATATCCGTACCTACAAGATCATTGTAATGAGGAACAATTTACAACGTTATTTACATGCTATATTCGTAAAATTTGTTACTTCTTACCAATAATTGTAGCATTTGGGTCGAGAGTTGGTAAAAGAATATTATTTGTTATATCTCCGGGACCACAACCGACATCCATACATGTTCCAGATATACTTTTCAGATTTTTGACAAATTCATTTACTACCATCAATACGGTACGTTTTTGCATCACATTAGAAGATACGTATTCTGCTGGATTTGCCATGTTTGATGGTCACTACTATACTGCGCAGTAGCATACAAATACATATAATAATAAATCCGCAGAAGTTACGACGTCATTTTATAGATCTCCTTCAGAGATACGATGAGAATCTGCTGGATAAGAGATCATGTTGGTTCTCTCTCTCTCTCTCTTTGTATCACTGGTAGGAAATATTTTCTTTTTTCCTCTGAATAACAGGTATAGATCAAAGCTAGAGCAATATAGTGCTCTTCCTCCCATTGCGGCCCTTTTCTTTCCCTACTATTATTGTTCTCTCCTTTCTTTTTATTCCTTAATTCCTAAAAATCTTTTATTAATTTTTTTCTTTTAGTAATTTTAATCATTTTAAGTTTGAACTTAATTTGCGATGGTAGGAGGTCTAGTTTAATAGGAATTAATTAATAATTTATTTAAAAAATTTTTATTGATGCAATAGGAGGGAGAGTGAAAGAACTATAGTGTTGATCTATAGTTGCTATGGGAGAGAAGGAGAGAACGCAGCTCGAAAGCTACTATGAGAGAGAGAGAGAGAGAGAGAGAGAGAGAGAGAGAGAAGGCGTGCGCGAGTTATGGGAGGTAAAGAGAACGCAAACATGGCCAGCAGCTCTCTCTAATTCTGACAAACGGATCTTTTGGTCACTGGATCCGCCCCTTCTTTCCTCGCCAAGTAATTTTGCATTTTCCTGCGGACGTTCACGCTCTCAAGAAGAAAACCAATCTTTAATGTCACGGATTTTTATTGTTTTTTACTGAATTTTTAATATGTATTTTATGCCTCTCCTTCACGATAAACCAATTCTTGCCAATGCGCAATACTTTATGGGAAATTATTGATTGAAGCTGTAATTATAAATCTCGGTAATTATAAATTTATTATATTTCTTTAATATAATATACACACGGAAAGAACAATTTTGCTAAATCCAGATCTGAAAATAATTTTTGCTCTATAATCAAAATAATTTTGTACGAAAGTCTAAATGATTGCTAGAATATCAAAACAGTTTTATAGCAATGCTTATTAGGTTTAGCATTCCAGCAAATTATTTTGATAATTCAATAAAAAATTATTTTCAGATCTGTATTCAGCTAAATTTTTAGACTTTTCAACAAAATTGTTCTTTCCTTGCATAAATACGTTTAAATACAAATAATTTTTTTACATATCTAGTTTTCAATTTTTAAATATTCATTTTTTAATTTTAATGTTATAATAACATACTATTTTTGAAATATAAACAATTACAATAGGTCTTAATTAAGAAATTCTTCACTTAACTAAAGCTTTTACTAACTTCGTAATTTTATTCATAACATATTACAAATGTAACATAAAA